AAATGGATGTGTCTTTGGGGCACTTAGATTTAACCAATTCTTTTGGTGGTTTCCCAACCTGAGGTAATGCAACTACAAATATGTAGACAACAGTACTGTGTCGGTAGATATGCAATTGGAAAAACAATGCTCATATGGGAACAACATGAGCTTCTACATGAAGTGGGTAACAGTCCCGTGAACCCTGGTGCCTCTGTACTGAATAACTATCCTGGATACATGATATTACCCATAGCAGATAAAATATCATTGATTCTCAGAACAGCCCCAGAAATGAGAGAAATCACCTCCCTTTAACGCTGAAGAATCAGTGAACAAAGAGCCAAGTGATGCCACTCCTTTGGTAAGTGACAGACCCTGTATTCCAAATCAGTGTCATGTTTGGGTAAGTGTCCTCCAAACGCCAGTAAGTTAAAGGCTCGGTCACCAGCCTGTGGTGTTACTGCGGATGGAGGAAATTTTAAGAAGTAGGGCCTAGAGGGAGGAAGTCAGGCCATTTAGGGCATGCCTTTAAAGGAGATATTGGGGCCTTGAGCCCTTCCTGTTTCTCTCTTTCTTTTTTTTTTTTTTTTTCCTTCCTGGTTGCCTTGAGGTGAGCATGCATGCCTTGCTCTAATGGCCTGTGCTGCCACAAGCCCAAAGTCACAGGGCCAAGAGACTATGGACTGAAACCCCTGAAGCGGTGGGCCAAAATAAACTTATTTACATGTATACATCCATCCATCTGTCCATGCATCTGTCCAATTTCCTATTACCCATATAATTAACTGAAGAAGTATATAGAGGGTGTGAGTGTGTACATGTGCGTGCTCTGGTGTGGTTTCCTCACCTTAATGCTCACCTTGGGGCTCCATGGGCCCGGTGTGTGTGCCTGCATGGACAGATGAGAATGGGTTTATTGGTTTATATTGAACATTTCCAAGCAGTAGAAGAAAGTGAAACAATAAGACAGTATACACAATATCTTCTCTACTGTCATGCAGATTCAGAAAGGTCTGCTCTACCGTTCTTTCTGGGCATGTGTGAGAAAGATAGAAAATTCAGTGGGTCATTTCCTTTCCCGCCTCCCAGGCTGCCCACAAACGTTTCAGTTGCACATTTCACTACTTCCTTTAACGATTCCCCAGCTTTGCCTTAATACTTCGGAAGAGGTGCTTTCTGGAGAATTGACTCATTCAGAGCAAAGTCTCTCCTCCCCTTGCCAGGAATTTCACCTTAATGAAGAGCCTGTTGTGTGCCTCTCATCTCATGTGGCCTCCAGGCACAGCCCTCAGGAGCAGTCACAGCTGGGGCCTTAACACATCTCTCAGGTGCATGTTAAACCCATCTGACCATGCTGGGTACTGTATAGGCAAGTCTGCTCTGGTCAGTTTCCACAACTAGTCTTGGTTGTCTCTTAGCGCAAATTCCTGACTGGGCATTCAAGGCTCTTAGTGACCTGGTCCCATCTTCCCTCTTCAGTTTCAGCTCCTGCCTGATAAAGGCCTTTTGTGCCCTACAGCACTTGGAGTAACACAGCTGTGGTGGCCTTTACTTTCTCCTGGTTCTGAAAGTGCCAGGGCCCTTCTGATGCTGTACCTTTATGTGTGCTGTTCCCCCGACCTGGCATGTCCTCTGTTCTTTCTTAGCCTAGTAAAGTCTTATTCTTCTTTCAAGCTCTGGCCTTCTGTCACCTCTTGAAGTCTGTGGAGGTTGCTTCTCTATTCCCTCATTTCACTCACCTGCCTTTGGCTAGAGCTTCCTGGGCAGAGGTCTGAGGGCTTCATGGAAACCCCTTCCTGGGGAGGTGTTGGGTAATTCATCATCTGAACAGTCTCCCTAGGAACTGAATTGGGGTGATGTCTGGAACACTATTTCTGTCTGCCTGGGGACTTGAAAGGGGGAGGGAAAATCTGGGTCAGTCTGATGCCCCAACTTCCACCTGGCTGCTCCTAACCCAGAACTCCCAGGAGAAATGCCACAGGTGGTCGCTTCTGCCCTCTAGACAGAGGGGGCACTATCTAGGAAAGCAGCTGGGCTGGAGGCCAGGCCAGACCAGTCCCACAAGATCAAGCTGGGGGCCTGGTGCTTTGTCTTAAGTGGGAGATAAAATTCTTTCTGTAGAGTAAGTGCTCCCACCACCTGTGGGACCACACAGGAAACTGGCCCTGCTGTACAAGCAGACAGGGATGTGGGGGATTGGTGACTGGCTTCTCCCTCAGCCTCAGAGATGCACATTTTTAGCAGTAACTTACAACAAAAAAGGAACATGCCATTCCTTGGGGATCCTTTCAGTTATACTATATAGCAACCCTCGACATAGGTGTTAAGAGTCTCATTCTAGAAAAACACTCAGGGAAGCAGGGGGAAGCCAGGGCTGACAGAAAGGATTCCAGCATTGGACAGATGGGGATTCTACTTCCAGTGTGGTGACTTCAGAGGATTCTGGCCTTGAGTTGGTCTGACAACACTTCCTTTGTCTCTTAGTGGGTATGGAAATGAAGTGAGTAAAGGAACCCAAACCCTAGTGCTTCTTATGCCCAATGGCATTTTCATTATGGTCCTAAGTGCCCTCAT